TTAGTGTGAAACACTGCTGTGATAATACTGCATTGTTCTCAGCAGAATATCTATATTTCTGTAGATTGGTCCCAAACTGGGTAAGCATTTGAAGGTCAAGACAATGGCATCTTCTCCCTTTTTAAATTATAAATGCTCAATTGTTGCTTATAGTCATAGGCATTATAAAGATACACTGATGAATGAATTAATTTTGATAAAAAGCAGTTCTAGTATGCCTCCTAAAATATTAAATTTTGTTAAGCAGTTTATAGCTTAATATTTATATGACAGCATAAATAGAAATGTTTTTAAAAAGAAAGTTCAAATGTTTTAAAAAATTAAGTATTTTCAATGCTAATCCTAAAATCCAGGAGCTTTTTAAAAAAATTGCATTTGAAAAGGGCCATTTCAATTTGTATACACGACATATGAATGAAAGTGAATTAGATTTTGAAACTGTATGCTAAAAATGTAAATCAATTACACATAAGGGAATCTCCTTTGTGATCTAGGAAATATGAATTCATAAATTTCAACATCCACACGAGAGAATATCATTACTTTGCAAGTGGAGAAACTCAACTATCAATTTTCAAAAGTACTTGATACCATGCTTGATAATTTTATTAATACCTGGTGGTAAAGGATGGACACCAGCTTGCCTCCATTACTTTAATGTCCTATTTAGGCCTAGAGAGGTGAAGGTGACCACTTGAGATTCTACCTAGTCCCAAGGTTCTAACGTTTGTATGTCTTCGTTTTACTAGACATATTAATGGCAAAGGGGTAAAGCAGTAAGTAATGAAAGATAACCCAGTCTACTACCAGTCTTATTTCAACCTCTAGGTGTCAAAATATAATTAAATTACATATTTTTCTTTTAAACGAAGAGATCTCAATTTACAGTAAATATCAAGCAATTTTCTTTGAGATGGTTGTGATTATCCTTTTTTATCACAGAACTGTCCTTTGCTTGGAGAACTTCCTATGCTCTACTGTACACTAATGAAGTAAAATCTCATTAGTCTAAACAAATTAGGAGGAAGGCTAATTTGAACTAGTCCCATTTTAAAGACACTGAAGGTGCAGTAGAAACAGATGGAATTTGGAGTCAGAGGACTTGGGCTTGAATCCCTGCATGGCTGTTTACTAACTGTTGTGAACTTAGGAAAATCACAATTTCTCTGGGCCTGAGTTTCTTCACCTTTAAGACGGGGGTACTGGGCTAAATGATCTCTGATGGTCCTCTCAGCTACAAATCCAAAGAGACTAATAAAACTGAGGTTCACAGAAGTTAAGAGATTGGTCCATAGTCACATAGCTAGGAAGTGTCCTAGTTATGAGTTCAAACTAAGTCTCCTAAGTCTACCATTACATTATCTATATTTTCTAAAAACATGGAAATTATTTTTTTCTAGCATCTACCTTAGCAAACCAAAAGTTAACAAAGTGAAGTGCAGCAGAAGGCTCCGATTTAATGAATAGCTCATTTGTATTCAGCATTTTTTGGTATGCAAATTGTACTTGTTAAATCCTTGAAAAGTATTCTTTTAAAAAGGTTAAACATTTTCCTCTCAAAGCTAATTTACGTTCTGCTAAACCTTTCATAGATAGCATAAACACTAAACTTCTGCTCTGTCTTCGAGTTATCTAATTATTGGGTTCCAAACTAATTAGGTTTTATTTTTTAAAGACTAAAAGTAATGGCTGACTTGGCCTATGATAAATAGAACTTTTCCTTTCATAAATGTCTTTAGCCTTTTTAAAAATGATACTGTCTTCCCAATAAAATTTGAGTTAAATAAAACAAATGTAATAGACATTTTCCTGTAATGGTTGACCAAGGTTGTTAATATAAACTGGTTAGCTAAGCAATGTTACTTTTATTTCTTCATTATCTTCAACTCAGGCTAAGGGGAAAGTCAGCAAATTCAGGTTTTAAAAAAATAAGAACCTATTATCAATAATAATCTCATGAAAGTACTTACTTATTCATTGGCCATCAGGTAATACTAAATTTAGAGTCAAAACTGCCCTGTGGATACTCAACAAGGCAAAGATGTTTTTACAAACATCCACAAGAAGATACAGCACTTTAACAAAGGAGGCTATAGGAAGGAGAATTAAACAAACAGCAGAAGTCAGGTAAAGTTACTTTCAGAAAGGTTTTCTCCAATATGTGAAATTCTTTAAAAAGCTTTTCAATTACCAAGTGTTATCTTTTCTTCACAGATAGAAAATATGAGAAAAGGTGGATTACTTCACTCAAACACTTTCAGCTGCTGAATAAATCCAGACTTTCATAGTTTGAAACCACACCACTAAAACCACTTTGGTCTTTAATGAATTTTTTGGGCAACAATAATGTGGCATACAAACTAGGCAGCCACTCTAGGCACCTGGAACAGAAAGACAATGAATTCTCCTTAGAAACTAAGCTACCAAAACCAGATTTGTGGCACTATGATATTCAAAACACAATTTGGTGATTGACATATTATGAAAGGCAGAGTGAATAAAAGCCTTGAATTAAAAAAAGAATAAAACTAGATTTGTCAAAACATTTTATGCATGACAATTTTTAAAATGTTAAAGCTTGGATTGAAATATGAACTATGTTTATTTAAATAGTTTTGAATTAGACATCTTCGTAACATCCATCTCATCTTAGAAAACTTTTTATTAATAAGTTTAAACAGCTACAGCTCATTTTAGAACAACAGATTTAGAGTTGGAAGGAACTTTAAAAGATTATTTTGCTCTCTAGTTCTCAATTTACTACACTAGTGTCAATATTTCAGTTATGAACAGTTGGCCCTGACATGGATATGACAAGTTCTTAGGGGGCTCCACATTTGTATTCATTGGTGTAGAAACTTCTTTGGTGTTAATCATCAATTCCATAATCGATAAGTTTAGAGAGACACCTGGGAGCACTAAGGGGTGAGGAGACTTGACCAGGTTCCTAGTACCTACAAAGTGTCAAACAGAAGAATTGGAAGCTAGGTCTTCCAGGCTCCAGGGTTCACCATCCAGAAAGCCATCTACATTACATACCTAGGTACTAAGGATAAACCATTCAAGAGCTTTGGGAAGTAATTTCGTATTCAGGGTTCGGTAGAGATCACCTGGATTTTAAAAATATTAGTTTCTTCTCAAATAAATTGTTTGGGGAATGAAAAAGTAAGAAAGTTTCTTCTTCCCTCTCCGGGGGAGTCTATACTGAGTCAGGTTTAGAAGGCAATATTCCAGCCCTAACAATCCATTACTTCATGTTCATCTGTGATGCAACAGCGTTTTAAAACTTTTTATACAGAAGTTTTAAGAGTTCATCTAATCTGGCAAAACTTTATTCAAACAAAATCATCAGGAATACACATTTACTTAATTATGTCAGTGTGGAACACTACACTCTTTATTCATGTATTGAGCCACTTTTTTAAACTTTATATGGCATTCACCACATACTGTCTTCTGTGATAGCTACTTGTTACATATTTCTCATTTCTAGGAGTATAAATTGCTGGAGGCCAAGTAACATGGAGAAGATTTTTGTACCAGTCCCAAGCAATAATATTTATATGGCATTTGATTACAGCCAAGTAGCTACTGGCCATCCTCTTTTTAAAACACAAGGGGTGGAGTTACAGCACACCTCCATTCTAAATCTGGTGCTCTTTCCACTAAACTATACAGGCCAGTCTTTCGGTTTAGTGGAAAGACCACTGGATTAGGAGTCTGATGACCTGGGTTCTAGCCCCAGTTCTGCCACTTATTTGTTATATGATCCTGGTCAAATTACTTAAGCTCTCTGAGCTTGTTTCCTCATCTGTAAAATGGGGACACCTACTTCACAGAGTGGCTGTGAAAATCAACTGAGGATGCCTGTGAAAGTATACTGTAAGTGTCCAATATTATACGAATGCAGAGTAATAATATCTGCTGATTAAAATAATTCTGTTTGTTGTTGAAGAAAAATATATACAACAGGGGGCTTGTGGCTTACCACATATTATGACATATAAATTGATATTTTTTAAAACTTCAAAGCCTTCTCCCAAATTGGGGGTGGATTACAGGAAGCAGTTTAACTACATATAGGATAATAGGCGGAACTCGTCTAATGAGGAACCAGGATTCCAGGCCCCCCCCTCCCCGGGTGATTCACGAAATGGTTAAGCCCTTCCAGTCTCGCTTATTGGGGGCAGCAGCTGGGAGGGCAGCACGGAGGAGGAGGAGGGGGGGAGGAGGAGGAGGGGGGCGAAGAACAGCTGCTCTTCCTAAGTCTTCAGCGCAGGTCAAAGCCTGTAAATTCCTAGCAAGGTCTGAACGGGCTGACAAATATACAAAGTTGCCTTCTGCCCCGGGATACTTGGCGAAACACATGGACATGGTAACAGCAGTCCCAGTGCGGAGTCGCCCAGATTCTTGCAGCCCTAACCTTGGGTATTGGCGATGGGGGTTCAGGGAGTTTACAGTAAACAAAGTCATGAGCAAGGCGTCACTTTCTAAGGGAGCTGCACAATTATTGCGGGGAGAAAAATCCCAAGAAGTCACTGCTTTAACAGGTAGAGAGCTGGGGTGAGGGTGGGGGGAGGGGTCCCCGACTTGCTGCAGGGCTCCCGAGGAAAAGGGGAGCTCAGCCCTGGCAGGGGGTCCTTCGCCCACCCACGTGGGGCGGGGCGGGGGCGCGATCAACGCCTCCGGGCACGCTGCCCTTTCCCTCCCTCAGGACTTGAGGCCCCTTCCCCGCACCGATGTTGACTCGGTTTTCGGAGTCACGGACTTTCCTTCCTGATCGGGTGAAAGACCACGGGGAGAGCGCCTCCAGACCCCGGAGCTCCCGGGAGCCGCGGCCTGGCTTTCTTCTCCAGACCTCGGAATAGAGCTGCCGCCAAGGGCGGGGGTCAGGGGCGGGGTCAGGGGAGGGCTACCTCGCCCCAGCCCACCCCATCCAAGCGACAGACCCACCTCGGCCCCGCTGGACCGGCTTACACCGGCTGCTCCCGTCCTCTTACCTGCCTTGGGCTTCACCCCCCGGGACGCACCTCCGTTTTGGCTCGCGCCAAACCTTCCTCCCCCCCACCCCTCAACCAGCGGTTAAGGTAGCATCGGCTGCCCGTAAAGCGAGGGCAGCCGTCGCAAAACCAGGTCTCTCCCTCTCTACCCGTCCCGTCTTTGCGACATCGTGCTTGCAGGGATAAAGTCTGGCGTCATTAAAAGTCGTAGTAACAGATTAAAAAAAAATGTGGAGTGGAGGCGGGGAGCGTCCCACGCAAGCGCGCCATTCCGAGAGGGGGAGAGGGCAGGGCGTGTTCGGGGAGTCTTAGGGGCCAGGCGAAAAGGGGCGTGGGAGGGGTGCGCGTGCCTGTCGCGGAGCCCCAGAGGGAGGGGCAGAGGAGAGAAGGCGCGCGTGCGCGCGATGACCGGCTAGCGAAGAGGCGGGGGCGCGGACTGAGCCGAGAGCGGGGGACCGCGTAGAGAAGGCAGCGGGGCGGTTGCCGGCGCCGGAGTCAGGGAGCCTAGGGGCGGCGGCGGCGGCAGCAGCGGGAGCTCGGGGTGCGGAGAGCCTCGCGGCGGGGATGAGTCCGGCGCGGGTGGAGTCGGGCTGACAGGGCGGCTGACGCAGGGGATGCCCGGCGGCGGCCAGACCCTCCTGCTTCATCCCTGCCAGAGCCCGAGTCCCGCCGCCTCGGCCCCGGCCCCGGCCCGGGGTCGCTCGGTGGAGGCCTCGCCCGTCCTGGGCTTGGGGCTCCAGCCGAAGAGGCGGCGGCGGCGGCGGACCACCCTGCGACGACTCGGAGGTAAGAGCCGCCCGCGGGGCCAGCCTGCCCACGTCTTCTCCCCTCTCCCGTGGCGGGGCGGCTCGGCCCGCGCCCCGCCCCGGCGGCGGGCCGCCCCCGCCCGGCCGCCCGGTCCCAGACGGTAGTTGTGACCGTTGGTCTGGCCTCGGAAGTCGCGGGGGCTCCGGGAGGGGGCGTGTCTGGGCCGCTCGGGGAGGCCGAGGTAGGGCTTGCGCCGGGCCGCCCCGAGCCGCGGGCGGGGAGGGGGCTGCGGCTCCCCGAGCCGAACTGGGGCGCGCCGGCCTCGCCCCCTGGGCGCGGGGCGGGCTCCGCCAAGGTCACCCGGCGGCTCCCGCCCCATCCCGCGCTGCTAGTCGGCATGACAACTCGGGGTCGGTGGGGACAGCCGCCGGCGGGGTGGGTCGCCTCGGCCCCTGAAGAAGCCAGCCCCGATGTCACTGAGATCTACACCCAGGTTCACCTGCTGCGGGGAACGGTTTGCAGCAGAGCTGCCGGGGCACGTGGGGCATCATCTATTTATCTATCTATTTACTTATTTATTAAACGGCGTCTTAGTGGGATGGATGCAGCGGTTTTCCTGAGGGCTCTTTAGGTATCGATTTTGGATGTTTGGAAAATGAGCGTTGTAGCTGTGTCCACGTCCCTGATATTTAAAGTTAAAATAGTAGTCATTTCGGGGGGCCACTGCTGCTCCTTCGTGCTGTCTGATTTTTCTCAGAGGAGCAAGTGCAAAATGCTGCACTGATGTCATTAGTATCAAATCTGGCTGCTGTAAAGCCATTCCACACCAGAAAATGCTCCCTTTGCAGAAGCTTTGTTAATTAAGAATGTTTGAACTTTCAAGAGGTTAATGCATTCATTCACATCCAATGGCCCAGTTTAGAATTTACCTTTCAAGGTAAATTGGAAGCAGTAACTCATTCATCTGAGAGAACTTTATCATAAGTACCATTGTACAATAGGAAAAAAAAAAAGACTTTTCCTCCGGTTGTTAGTGTTCATTGTGTTATATAGTTAGGCAGAGTAAAATGGCATGCTTTTATTCCAAGTTTATTGACAGTTATGTTTCCTTTTTGCGTTAGTGGTTGTATCATGAAAACACTGTCCTGATGGTTGTTATAGTTTAGAAACTCAAGAATATGATGTAATTTAGAGAGCATTCGAAATTAATCACTGAATTGCCGCACTACTAGCCAGTGTGACAGCTGGATTGGATGACATCAGGAGTCTCTTTTAGCTTTAATTCTGCTCCATGTTTCTACACGATTTGTTGTAGTATTAATATTTTAGCAATAACATTAGAATAAGCATATGCTGCATTCTTTATGGCTTTACCTGTGTAACAGATTAGCTTTTAAAATAAATAAATACGTTGAACATTTCTAACTGGAATCTGAAAAGTCTGTAGTCCAAGTTATTTTTCAGTGATAGGCTCAGGTGAAAAAAAAATCTGTGCTGTTGCTCTAATCTTTCTAGATTTTTCCTCTGCTGGAAAAGAAAGATTTCAGTGCTACTTGGCATGAATTGAAAACACAATCTTTAAATTGTCATGTATTGTTTAAATTATGCATTCTTTATCTTGCTACCCTTATCTGATATTCAGCTATAGATAATGCTTTCCTTTCTCTTAATATTTGGTAGTCATCTGAGGCTTGTAAATTACAGATTGTGGCCAAAAAAAGGTAATTTTGGCTCTTTGACATTTATATATACATTGTACAAGTGTGATTTTTGAGTAGTTTTTTTAATTGGTATTAGATTGAACTTCAATGTCATCAATGAAATGTGTGATTAAGAAATGTAAAATGAGATCTAGGGATAATTGTTGTAACAGGCCACGTGCTCCAAAGATATCTTTACTCTGTCAAGATAAGGCAAAAAAGGCCTCCTAGTCAATTGGATGGATCCTTTTTGTAAAACTTATTTGAAAGACGTGGACAAGAATTCACACCAGATAGGTATGGCTAGGTGGTGATCTGCAATATTGTAGTAAACATCCACATCAATGATATCTATTGAGAGAAAGAGAGAGAGAGAGAGAGAGAGAGAGAGAGAGAGAGAGAAAGAGACCACTGGCACTCTCCCTCTCGCTCTGGCTCTCTTTTTCTCTCTCTCTCTTTCTGTGTGTGTCTCTCTCCCTTCATATGTACATATACATATACACGCTTATGTACATAAATTTAAGTAAATTGAACTAGAACTAGCAAGACAATAAATAAAAAGGTCAGTTTAGAAAAGATGTTTTGAAAACTTGCCAACATTGAATGAAATTAGTTTTTAAAATAGAAATTAAAACATTTTATTTGAAAAAATAGCAATTGATACTTTACATTTTTGCTTATGATTTTGTAGTATTAACTGAGGAATTCTGAGGTAATATTAGGAACAGGATGATTTCCCTCCTTCTGTCTTTCCTTTCCTCCTCCCATCTGATATCTTTTATGTGATAAGGCTTTTCTTCATACCAGAAGAAATGTAAATTTGTTCATCGAAAGCTTGGTATATGTAGATTGTAGGGACCTTGGCAAGATCCTGTGTATGTGTGTGTGTGTGTGTATAGTAGCTCTTCACTATGCTGTATTTGGCTGATGGATAAAAAGAAAATATGTTGACATTAGTATTATTTAGTTCTTGATGAAGGGGAATGATTGGGTCTTTTGCATTTTTTTTTTAAGTGAGGAATCTGGTAGAAATTAGTAATACAAAGTCTTCCTATATCATTTCTCTTCCTTTCAGAGTCTGTTCAATCTGTAATAGTACATTTGAGAGAGATTTCATAAATTTTGAAGAAAATTTGTGCATTCTTTAGCCCTTAAAATGATCAGTCAAGTAATTCTAAAAACACCACATTAATACTGTCATGTATTTTTAGAACACTAATTTCTGAGGAGTTAAATAGAGGGAGAGATATTTGGTCAACAGGGCACTCTGAAGTCTGAGACTTGAGTTGGAATCTCCTCCTGTACTGCTTTTGTTGGATCATAGATTTAGAACGGACAGGAAACTCAGATTTAATCTCTGAGCCTCAATTTCCTCATCTTCATGAGTTCACTCAGACAGTAGCTGTGTGACCCTGGGCAAGTTACTTAACCTTGTTTGCCTCAGTTTCCTTGTCTGTAAAAGGAGCTGGAGAAGGAAATGGCAAATCATTCTAGTATCTTTGCCATGAAAACTCCAAATGGGATCACAAAGAGTCAGACATGGCTGAGATGACACCACTACCACAACAATATAATGGCTGTGTGGGGAAGGGAGTCGTGGAAGGCTGTGAGAAGCAGCATGTGTATAGTTCATTAGATCCTTCTTTGACACATTCTGACTTGACAAGCCCCTTAAGCTGTCTATGCCCCCTAAGGAAATCTAAGACCAAGTTGCACAATTGCTGATCTGCATTGGTAGAGGGAGTTTGCTCACTGCACCGATGAAATCACACATCTGGACCAAAAGAAAAAAAGGACAGTATTTGATTATCTAGTTGTGAAGGAAGAGATATGTAAATATTAAACATGTAACATGGGAACTATTATTTTAAACACCTTTGTAAGGTAGGCAAATACTGTTATTTTCACTGTGTAGATAGGAAAAGCAAAGGCAGGGAGATGTTGAAGGACTTTTTATTCTGTTTGAAAAAGAAAATCCAGGTTTTCATATATTGGATTTTATTTAAATCACAACATACCTTATGTAATAGTTAAGGAGTAAAAACTGACAACAACAAAATGGGCTGAAAATGAAAACCTCTGTTTAAAACAGGCTAATTCATAAAGTTAAACATATTTCCAGGGAGAGGAGAATTTGACTATTTCATTTTTAGGCTCCAATCTTTGATCTGAAGATATTGAATGACATTTGACTGATAGCAGAAAATCAGTTGCAGAGTTCTGTGGTAGCTAGTTAAGACTATTAGTGCCCTTGCTTTTGATGGTGGCATTCTGAGTGAAATACTGTGGAAATTTGTAAATGTAGTAAAGGAATGGATTTTGAACTTAAATCACTTTAAAAATCACTTAAACAATTTTCAATAGATAAGTTTAGAATTCTGGGAAAGGAATCCAAGTATATTCCTTTTAATTTCTCCCTCTTATTAATAGATAGCAAAAAGCTGCCTTCTCATTTTACTTCTGCTTAACCTATGTATCCCAAATGTAGCTAATAGATGTATGATTTTCTTGCAGTATGAAATGTTTTTAAAAAATGTTTCTACCTTGGAGGAAGTAATTTGTTTCACATAATTAAACATTCTATTGGCTGACTTGTCAACTTCTTAAAAATGTAATCTATATTAATAATAATAACTTTATCTCCTCTCTCTCTCTTTACCCCTTACAATCCTGCTTCTAACCTTATTATTCCACTGAAACTGCTCTCTGCAAGGTTACTAATGATCTTGGCTGCCAAATCCAGTGGCCTTTTCT